ATAGATATGCGTAACGTCTTTCGTTTTTACCGAAAGTGCAGTACGTCGGCGCTGGCTATGGCTCGAAAAATGACAAATCGCAAATTTCAAAATTTTTAACACCTTTTCTACGATATCTTTTTACCTGTAAACATTTTGTTTAAACATATAGAACAAAAGAAGTGTAAAATTTCAAGATCTTTCAAATGATATCTTAAAAAAAGGGCTGGCTCCTAAATTTAAGGGTCTAGAGTGGCCGAAAGTTTTTCTTTCATAAGTCAAAAAGTATTAAGAATTTGAAAGGGGTCAAAAAAGCAAAGTTGTTCAAAATGTCAAGCTTAATCTACTGGCGTTGTCAAAATACGTCCGGCGTCGTCACTTTCGGCCAAACCGGAAGTAGTCGGAAAACGCGTTTTTTTGCCGTTCTTGACAAGTTTTGTGGTTACATTAGTCTCTGGAAGCATAAAACGTAATTTTTCCGTCCGTCGTCGTCACTTCCGGTCAAACCGGAAGTAGAAAAAATGGCTTTTTTTGAAGGTTTTGGTGCAAAAATGAAATTATAAAGTCACTGGAGACTTTTTAGCCCATTGCTTTCTTTTGTTCTGTCACTTCCGGAACTTCCGGTCAAAACTGGACGGAAGACCTACTCGTTGCAAAGCAACGAGCTTTGCTCTAGTTATTATTATTATTATTATTCTTTTTTTTCTTCTTTGTTCTCCGGTACTTTTTTTGTCCGCGAGTGTTCTCAGAAACTGTTCACCCAACTGAGCTAAAACCTTTTTAGGGTTAATAGGTGTGTAGTGTAGGTGTGCAACACGAAGGTTATTTTGCGCGCATACGCATGCACGTGCTTGCGCGTGAAATGAGTGAAATGACGGATATACTTTATATAGCCATAACTTTAACATTTTTTTGATGAAATATTTTAAAACTCATTTAATAAGGATATATTGATAGTGTAGATAATGTGACACTGTCAAATTAGCACGAACTCACGCGCATGCACGTGCGCTTCGCTCTGATTGGCTGCAACAAAAATCTCAATATCTTTTCTGTTTTTTGACGAAATGCTATGAAATTTAGAATATAGGCATACTTTAGGATGTACTACAATATGATATATAACAATTGTCATGCAAACACGCGCATGCACGTGCGCTGCAATCTGATTGGCTTAAACTTTAAATGGCAATAACTCCCTTGTTTTTCAACGAAACAGTATGGGATTTAGAACATAGACAAACATAATGGACTCCCACAAGGAGGTATGGTCGTCATGCACATGCATGCACGTGCATGCACGTGTGCTTTGCTGTGATTCGCTGAAACAAAAATCGCAATATCTTTTTTTAATTTTTGACGAAATCCTTTAAAATTTTAAACATAATCATGCATTAGGATGTCCTACAATATGATATATCACAGTTTTCGTGAAAACATGCGCATACACGTGCGCTGCACTCTGATTGGCTTAAACTTAAAATGGCTATAACTTCCTCGTTTTTCAACGAAACAGGATGGGATTTAGAACATAGACAAACATAAGAGACTCCTACAAGAAGATACAGTCGACATGCACATGCATGCACGTGCGTGCATGTGAAATGAGTAAAATTACAAATACACTAGATTAAAACGTATTTTTTAATACTTTTGGATAAAACGCTGTAATTTCTAGAATATTAATAGTGTAGACAAGATGATATGGTCATTACGCACATGCATTCAAATGCGTATGCGTGCAATGCATAAATTTGAATATACTGAATATACTTCTGGGAAAACATTGTTATAGTCTAAAACGCATAGAGTTCGTCTTATTTAATGAAGCTTACAGGGAATAAGGCACCAAAAGGGAGTTGGGGAGCGTTTGGGGAACATCTGTAACGGTTCCCGTTACAATTAGCCCTAGTTAAGGTCTTCCGACTTCCTTCGGAAGACCTTACTGTTTTTCTTATGTTTCCTATTATTATTATTTTTCCCTTTTCATAGTACACGTGAATTCTCGGAAACTACTGGACCGATTTCAAAGATTTTTTCAGGAATGATGCATTGTTGTAATATCTCCAGACCTTTTTTTCATTTTTTAAAAAATCACTTCCGGTCGCATTTTTTGTCAGATTTTCTTTTTTTAAATTGTCATTTTGTCCAAGCATCTTCTTGTAAACCACTCAAGATTGAATCACGATATTTTCAGGGGTTATAAAACATCTTTTTGAGTTATGCATGACGTCTTTTGATTTCGCATCCGTCACTTCCGGTCGACACAGGAAGTGATGTTTAATTTTAAGATTTTTTGAAAAATTTAACGGGTTTGATTAAAGGCAAATAGAACTTATATTTTTATTCACAATCTTCAACAAAAAGCATCCATTAGATGTACTTCCGGTAAAAACCGGAAGTAGTTGAAAAAACAAAGTTTTTCTTTTGAATCAAATAAAATCGAATAAAACGATTAAATTTGAGTTTTTCAATTTTTCTCTGACTTACTGACTTTGATGTCAGCCTGTAATAATGCCAGAATAGTCAAATGTCGTCAAATGACGTCACATCCGGTCAAAACGTGTAATAACATTTGCACCGAGAATAATTTGGACAGAAATATACAACAAAAGTTGTGCGTAATTATGAAAGCTTTCATATAAGATTAAGGAAAAGGGGCTGGTCCCTACAGGCCTAATTAGGGGTTAATAGATCATATATAAACGCTTTTTTTCTTAGAGCTAAAAATATTAATGGTATAACAGTTATATTATGAAAAAGTTTAACTGAAATCATTTCGAATTGATTAAACCCTGTCATTTGGTATAAAGATAAACAAACTCCAAACTATATTTGTTTTTTATATAAAACAAATATGTGGGAAACCTTACAGGGACAAGTTGTCTAGCTACTTAGCCAGCCAAGCCTTTAATGTGCCATTTGCACACAGTTTTAGTTGATGCATCAGTAAGATATACTTTTGATTCGGTGTTTCTCTGTTTTCTTTTTATGCAAGTAATTTAAAATGTGATGTATGTACACAACAAAAGGTGAAATCAAAATGGTTTTTTCTGCATTAGTATAGATGTAAACAACGCGCGGCATTGTGGGAAACGGGAAGGTACTAAAGACTTGATATACTAAAATCCTGATTTGACCTGATTGAAAATTGTCAGTAATATTCCAAACAAATGAATTTTTGTATAGCATAATGCATCATAGTAAAAAGTCTTTTAAATAAGTCATTTTAAGTACTCAATATTATCATTTAATTTAAAATAAAAACATCAGGTAATATCAGGTCTTTAGTACATCCGGTTTTTAGTGTGTCCCATCGAAATCGGAATCGGACACATGTTGATCATGTTTACAAAGTGAAGTTGGGGATTTTCTCACCGTATGTACACATGCACGGACATTTAACCTGCAGCTACGAAGTACTTTATCAATCCTCTGGAGCATTATTCTAAGCAAAATTATCCGATTTATATATTCTTGTGTGAATTTTACGAGGAAATTCCGACTGTCACAGTAACAAACAATGATGAACACTCTTAACCATTGTTATGTTCCCCAAACGAAGTTGGGGAACATATTGTTTTTACTCTGTTTCTTATTATTATTATTATTTTTCTTCTTCTTCTTCTTCCTGGGTACTTTTTTGTCCGGGAGTGATCTTGTAAACTGTTGATCCGATGTAGGTAAAACCTTTTTAGGGTCAGTAGACATGTTATGTAGATTTGCGGAATCAAGGTCATTTTGTGCGCACGTGCTTGCAAGAGCGCGCACGTGCATCATGTGAAATGACCAATATAATGTATATTGCCTTAACTTTTCTATTTTTTGATGAAATGCTTTGAAACTCATAGTGTAAAGATATATTAGTATAATAGACAAGATGACATGGTCAAAATAGCAAGATCTCACGCGCATGCACGTGCGCTTTGCTCTGATTGGCTGAAACTAAAGTCTCTATATCTTTCTTGTTTTTTGACGAAATCCTTTGAAATTTTGAACATAGCCATGCATAAGGATATCCTACAACATGGTATATAGCAATTATCATGAAAACACGTGCATGCACGTGCGCTGCAATCTGATTGGCTGAAACTTTAAATTGCTATAACTCCCTTGGTTTTCAACCAAACAGGATAAGATTTGGAACATAGATATATATAATCGACTTCTACAAGAAGGTAACGGTCACCATGCACAGGCATACACGTGCGTGTACGTGCGCTGCAATCTGATTGGCTGAAACTTTAAATTGCTATAACTCCCTTGGTTTTCAACCAAACAGGATAAGATTTGGAACATAGATATATATAATCGACTTCTACAAGAAGGTATGGTCACCATGCACAGGCATACACGTGCGTGTACGTGCGCTGCAATCTGATTGGCTGAAACTTTAAACAGCCATAACTCCCTTGGTTTTCAACCAAACAGGATGCGATTTGGAACATTGATATATATACTGGACTTCTACAAGAAGGTATGGTCACTATGCACATGCATACATGTGCGTGTACATGAACTGCAATCTGATTGGCTGAAACTTTAAACAGGTATAACTCCCTTGGTTTTCAACCAAACAGGATGGGATTTAGAACATAGATAGATGTAATGGACTTCTACAAGAATGTATGGTCACCATGTCCATGTATGCACGTGCGTGCACGTGAAATGGGTAAAATAAAAAATACACTTGAATGACCGTTTTGTTTTTTATACTTTTGGATTATATTTAGCATATTTAAATATATAGATTGTGTAGACAATATGATATGGTCATTACGCACATGCATTCACATGCGCAAGTTTGCAATAATAAAATTTGAATGAACATGGTACACTTCTTGGTAAACGTTGTTAAAGTCTCAAATGCATAGAGTTTGTCTTATTTAATTACGCCTACAGGGAATATGATTATAAAAGGGAGTTGGGGAGCGTTTGGGGAACATCTGTAACGGTCCCCGTTACAATTAGCACTAGTTTACTCTGTTTCGGAGTTCCCAGTGGTAATTGTATCGAGTGATTAAAGAGCTGACGGAGACATTTTAATGTATGATTGGCGTGGACCATGGGAATGAATTCGAAGGTTAGAATTTTTTTTTTTACCTAAAATGAACATTACTATGGCAGCTTAGAGCATTTATCAGCTGTCGATATTTTTAGAAATACACAGACACAGCGATATATTAACTGTTTTACAGTTCAGACGCTCTCAGTTAGCCTTTTAATATCCCCACAGCGTTAAATTTTATTTAAATATGTGTGAGCATGTAATTTCAACAAGACTTGCTTTCAACAGTTCAAAACAAAATGTTCTTCAACTAATAATATGTTGACGGGTGTGATGTTAATTAATTGTTAGGGTACGGTAAGGGCAGATACTTATTTAGTTTTAATTTAGATCGGGCTTGTCAAACCGCACTAGACATATGGTGCATCGATGCCCTGTTCACATGGAAAGTTCAATTCAAATTAGTTTAATTCGAATTAATTTACTGCGCATTAAATTACTTTGCACAAATTAGTCCACAAATTAGTTTAATTCGAATTAATTTACTGCGCATTAAATTACTTTGCATTAGCTCCTTGTGAACACTAACAGCTTTAAGTACTTGTGCTATTTCTGAGGGAAAAACTAAGGAAAATAGTGATAATCACTAAAATGTGTATACAGACACTGTGACATTATGTCAAATACATCTGTTTATGCCTAAGGTGACATGATTTGTAAATGATGTCATAATAACCTAACTGAAGCCTGACTGTCGAAGTAAAATTTTTATTTGCATTTGGTTACTTTGCATTATAATTAGCTGTCATGTGAACACAGTTTGATTCGCATTAGTTGATTCACATTAGTTTACTTTGCGATAATTTACTGCGAATTTAACTCTCCTTCTGAACAGGGCACTAGACTCTTAAGTTACATGATGTCGTAGTGTAAGTTTGGCCTACAATACCACTTTAAAGCTTGAATGTAGCTCAAAGAAGCTAAGCACTGTGGGTCCAAAGTTACTGCAGAAAAAAAATTTAGTATCATTATTTATTGACCAAAAAATTGCACACATATTGTTCTGTTAATTTAATCAATATTTTATTATGTCATATGTATGTTTCTTAGTTAAATTGCAAAAGAAATTTGTAAAAAAAAAATGTAATAGTAGAGTTTGCTTTTTTTCTGTGATAAGACTGCAGAAATGGTTTGTTTGTTAATTGGTCTATCGAATATTTTTTCAGTCATTTTATGATGCCACCACTTGGGATAGTAAGCTGCAAATATAGACTTGTACTCAGCACTTATTGCCTTTGAGAAGTAAGGGATCCTTTTCGTGCCAACACCTACACACCTACTGTGACACAGAATCTCGGTTTATACAGTCTCTTTGGAGTAACCTGTCTCAAGCATTTAGCAGTGGGACTGGAACTTGCGACGTAAGGATCAGCTTCTTATTGATACTTTGATTGATAATGTTATCATGAGAATCTCACTCATTCACTCATTTAGAGATGTTAATATATACTGGTGAATAGCTTCATTTGGACCTTTACTTGGAACTCAGGGTCATTATCCTAACATCTACTGTGAGGTTTTTAGGGTCTCATTCACTTCAAATGCTTGTTGCATGGTTAAGGAACATTACTGAGTACATGTTTTTGTCATAGGTTTGATGCAGTGAATTAAAATAAAGTCTGGCTTCATGATTATACATAGCAATTGCCCTACCACTAGGCTACCATAACAGATAATGATGTATTTGGGTTATATAGTAAAAAACGCTTAGGCAAACACTTACAATGAATAGAAGCTTATCGAAAATTGAATTTTATTCCCTGTTTTTTTAAAATATATGGAAAACTAAATGGTGTCCTGATAAGGCAATTTGTGCATAAAGTATAATAGCGTGTTCGGAACAATGTGCTAACACAGTGTTCTCAACACTGTTAGGCTAAGGCAACTTAAAACAACATGCAGTTGTGCTGACGCTCAACATGCTGCCATGCTAAGGCCATTCCAAGTTTTTCCTATGTTTAGCGTCCTCTGTGCGCCTTGGTTTTTAACACCCCATGTAAGAAAAAACACACAACATCAGGAGTCCTGAAATTGGTTAATTTAGGCAAAATTGATCAATTTTGTCAATTTCTCCAAATAATTCTGTACAGTAAGTTATATTGGGTGTATTGTAAGCATTTAATCCCTTGTTTTTGCTTAAGAATAGACATTTCTTCTATTAAAGCAGTTTAGTTAGATCAAATCATTGGAAGTGTGTCATGTGTATGACTTTTAACCCTGTGTTTTATGTTTTGGCTTGTGTGTGTGTGTTTTTTTTTTTTTGCGAATAGGTAGGTAGGTTTTTGAAAGATGGGTGAAAGCTAAACAGAGAAAAAGCTTGGAATGGCCTAATAAAACTTCTCTAATAAAACTTATCTATTATGTGTAAGCTTGATGGCGTAGTGTAAACAGCCCGCTGAAACATTGTTACAAACGCACTAAGTACATTGTCACCGTGTTGTCATTAACACACTAGCCCATTGTCATAAGCGTGATAGCGCATTTTTACTTCACGCTAGCATGTAAACAGTTAGCATGCTGTCATAAACTTAGTAGCATGGTGTTTTAAATGAGCTAGAGCCGCATTGTTACTTTGCGCTAGCTCATTGTTCCTTATGCGATGCTGTTTTGTCACTTCATTAGTGCATTGTTCCTAATGTGCTGTAACACCTTTACGAATGGCCTTATCCTGACACATAAAAAATCATAACCAGATACCATCTTTCTGACTGATTAGTCGGTTAACAACTGTTAACTATTACCATTCCTAATAAATTTTGACATGAACAAATAATGTACATACCCTTTATTTGAAATCATGAAAAACTAATATGTTATTTTATTACATCCTCAAATGACTGCCTGTAAACCTAAATTTATAAATGATTATAGAGTAGTTTTACAAATAATACACATACAGAAAAGTGACAGTATCTTTTAACTAAGTTTGATGGTTTATCTTATCTTATAAGTTGTACTTTAAAAAAAAATTCTTTTGATAGGTGTGACTGTCATCTGAGTACTGAAATTTGATGCCAAGCATAATCATGATTTGCCAGAAGAGCCTCTTTTGGGAGATGACAAAGAATAAACAGCAGAATGAAATTGAAGCAACCAACTGAATCAAGTCTCAGTTCAAGAAGATGATTTTAAATATATCATATTTAAATTTTGATTAGAGAAACAGACATAAATTTACAAATATGATTATATCAATTGCTTTCAGTTTTTCAAGAGAAATGGATTTTGTTACAAAATCTAATATGTTTAATTTGGAATAAATGTTCTTTTTAAATATTTGTCAGATCTTGCATGTTTACATCTGTATTGAGGTCTTCCGCTTCCAAGGGAAGACATACCAATTCTAATGGTAAAGATGATAGAGGTCTGTCTTCAGTGGCAATATATAAGATCTACCGGTAAAATGTGTATTTGTACAGTATAATTGAAGGAACGTTGCTATTTTGGCATAAACAACTAAAGCATTAACAAATGTGCATGATTCAGAACAAAGGACGTGTTATTTCAAACACAAGATCAAAGAGATGTCCAGTCACATTTCAAAGTCAACAAATCACTAAATCTGCTCATATGAGCTAAAGCTGTAGTAAAATTTTAAAAATTCACCCATTATCATCTTTATCTTAAAGTCTTCAGATTTTCATTTCCTTCTCAGAACAAATGGACAAAGTTAAGTTAAACTTGGCACAGAGCATTCTTTAGTGTAGATTTCCGTGATTTAGTGATTTTCATAGGGTCACATTGACCAGCATTTTTCTCAAAAGTGCTTTAGACAGAAACATAATATTTTCAGTGATGATAGAGCTACATGTGCTGATGTGACACACACCTCTCTCTTTCTCCAGAAGTGCAGCACGTCGGCGCCCGCTATGGCTCAAAACAAGTCCTATCGGGGACTTAGAAATTTTTCACACCTTTTCTGCAATATCTTTTTACATGTTAACATTTTGTAAAGACATATAAACAAAACTTGTAAAGAATATCATGATCTTTCAAAAGATATCAATGATAAGGGGCTTGCCCCTATAATTAAGGACTGAGAGGGTCCAAAATCTTTTCCTTAATATCTAAAAAAATATTTGAATTTGTAATACGTCAAAGAAGCAAAGTTGTTCAAAATGCCAAGCTTAATCTATTGAATTCGTCAAAATGCGTCCGGCGACTTCGCTTCCGGTCAAACCGGAAGTCGTCAGAAAGTGAATATTTTTGCCGTTCTTGACAAAGTTTTGGGTAACATATATCACTGAAGGCAATAAACTTAATTTTTCGTTAATTGACATCACCTCCGGTCAAACTGGAAGAAGCCACAAAAGCTTATTATGAAGGTTTTGACGCTAAATTGAAATTATTAAGTCACTGGAGACGACTTAGCTCATTGCTTTCTTTTTGTTGACGTCACTTCCGGTCAAAGCAGGACGGAAGACCTACTCGTTGCTTTGCAACGAGCTTTGCTCTAGTTATTATTATTATTCTTTTTTTTTCTTATTTGTTCTCCGGTACTTTTTTGTCCGGAAGTGTTCTCAGAAACTGTACACCCAACTGACCTAAAACCTTTTTAGGGTTAATGGGTGTGCAGTGTAGGTGTGCGGAACGAAGGTCATTTTGCGCGCATACGCGTGCACGTGCGTGCGCGTGATATGAGTGAAATGACTGATATACTTAATATAGCTATAACTTTTACATTTTTTAATGAATTGACTTGAAACTCATTATATAATGATATATTAATAGTGTAGATAATATGACACTGTCGAATTAGCACGAACTCACGCGCATGCACGTGCGCTTCACTCTGATTGGCTGAAACAAAAATCTCAATATCTTTTCTGTTTTTTGACGAAATGCTTTGAAATTTAAAACATAGGCATACTTTAGGATGTCCTACAAAATGATATATAACAATTGTCATGAAAGCACGCGCATGCACGTGCGCTGCAATCTGATTGGCTAAAACTTTAAATAGCGATAACTCCCTTGTTTTTAAACCAAACAGGATGGGATTCAGAACATAGATAGACATTATGGATTCCTACAAAAGGGTATGGTCATCATGCACATGCATGCACGTGCATGAACGTGCGCTTTGCTCTGATTGGCTGAAACAAAATTTTCAATATCTTTATTGTTTTTTGAAGAAATGCTTTGAAATTTAAATCATAGGCATGCTTTAGGATGTCCTACAATATGATGTATAATAATTTTCATGAAATCACGCGCATGCACGTTCGCTGCAATTTGATTGGCTGAAACTTTAAATGGCTATAATTCCCTTATTTTTCAACCAAAAAGGATGGGATTCAGAACACAGATAGACATTATGGGCTCCTACAATTGTGTATGATCATGATGCACATGCATGCACGTGCGTGCACGTGAAATGAGTAAAATTACAAATACACTGGATTAAACATATTTTTAAATACGTATGGAATAAATGTTGTAATATTTAGTATATTAAAATATACGAATAGTGTAGACAAGATGATATGGTCATTACGCACATGCATTCAAATGCGCATGCGTGCAATGCTGAAATTTGAATAAACTTGATATACTTCTGGGTAAATAATGTTAAAGTCTAAAATGCATCGTGTTTGTCTTATTTAATGAAGCGTACAGAGAATATGCCACAAAAGGGAGTTGGGGAGCGTTTGGGGAACATCTGTAACGGTTCCCGTTACAATTAGCCCTAGTATTTATTGGTATGTAAAAAATCAGGTCCATATTTTAAAATCTTGAAATTTTACAACTATTTTTACTATGGGGTCATGGGATTCACGGAGCAATCATTTGACGTAAGCGACGTGACAACCAGATTTCAAGCCGTTAAGCTTTGTCGCAGTTATATTTATAACTCTTTCATTTCTTAGATTTTTCGTATCTTTTTTCTACTTTAAAATTGAATATCTATATCAAGACATGATACTTTTCTACTATAATGTCTTTCGTACTGATTCGTATATTATTGAGATCTTAAAAAAATTAAAAAAAACGTCTATGCAGTTAATCAATCAGGTATGGAAACTATGCAAAACCATATAGGCGCAACGCAACGTTCATGCGATAAGGGGGTATTGAAGTATCGATGGAGTTAATCATTCAAAATGTCCCTCCTTCCATTCTTATGAAGCTATAACCATTTGAAAACTTGTTCTTTGTATGTGAAGGAAATTCCTGGCAGCATCTTGAACATTTTAATCTCTTTTTAGTTATTTTCCTATCTGCACACATAATTTTTACGTAGTGCAGTGCTCCATGACGCTCAATGACGTTCCGATTTTTGGCTGTCTTTTTACGCGTTGATCATTTATAAACGGCTATAAATCAGTCATATACCATCCAATTTAGTTCAAAATTTCTCCCAGTGACGTTTCCTGTATTCTGTAGTAGCAGGTAAAATATCATAAATCTCTTTGAGAAACAATTGTGCAATTTTTAATTTTAATAAATAGTCTTTGTGATGTAAACGTGCCAAAATGTAGCATGCTCCATTAGGCAAGTTTTATCAAAATAAAAATGCTGTATATTTTTCGATAATCACGAAAGAGCACAAAATTCTTGTATATTTATTGGAAAAAAGGTAAAGATTTTATCTTAAAAGTTTGACCGGTTTTGTGGAAATAGCGCGCTCACAATAGAACTTGTCCGCGAACTTTTCTAACACCCCTCGTACATTTACTTACCTTGTCATTGGTCATTTGCAAAATGATTTTGTTAAAAAATATTCTGATTGAACACATATGTACTCTGAAGTTGACATTTAAAAGATGCTTGAGTTTCTGATAGACAGTATCTATTTGGCTTTTGAAGACCAGGTCTTCCAACATTCTATTGGAATCCCATGGATTCAATGGCGCCCTATTATTAACAGACCTATTTTTGTTTTTATATAGGCAGGATTTGTCCAAAATTTTATACATGAAAAAAATAAAACACTTTCTGTAGCCTTCAACTCGGCATTTATATATATCGATATATATTCAATTAACAATAGTTATTTCCATTCTTATGTCGATACGATATACCCCGGTGAACTCGAGACAAAGGATACCACAGCGTCTGGCAAATCTGTTTCATATTTGGATATTTTACCTGAAAAAGACGTTAATGGTAATCTAACGACCAAGCTCCATGATAAACATGATGACTTTTCAATTGTCAACTTTCCATACTTATGCAGCAATATGCCTTCATCACCTGCATACGGAGTTTATATATCTCAGGTACGCAAGAGCATGCTCTACGTATGTACAATTTCTAAAATCAGATGAGACCGCTTTAACCGAGATCCCACATCACAGAAAGATCCCTCCCTGCTCAATGGCCCTGAATGCCGAGTGTAGGACAAAACTTGCTGAATTCTATCGGCAAGTGGTGGCGTCTCGATATGAGTGAAAAATTCTCGAGAGGCTCGTTAAACAACAACGTCAAAAAAAAAAACCCAAAAGAAATTCTAATTAATTAACAGCTAGTTAACTTTTCAAACTCTTCTCTAAAAGCCCTTTCGTGTTCTATTTGCAACAAGTGTTACTGCGTAGGAAGTCAACATAATTCCTTCTCTATGCCTGATCGGTACACAGGTCCCACGGCGGATGTAACAGCTAGACAGGGGATAATAACTCCTCTGATCGGTACATAGGTCTCACGGCGGATGTAACAGCTAGACAGGGGATAATTACTCCTCTGATAGGTACACAGATCTCACGGCGGATGTAACAGCTAGACAGGGGATAATTACTCCTCTGATCGGTACACAGGTCCCAGGGCGGATGTAACAGCTAGACAGGGGATAATTACTCCTCTGATCGGTACACAGGTCCCAGGGCGGATGTAACAGCTAGACAGGGGATAATTACTCCCCTGATCGGTACACAGGTCCCATGGCGGATGTAACAGCTAGACAGGGGATAATTACTCCTCTGATCGGTACACAGATCTCACGGCGGATGTAACAGCTAGACAGGGGATAATTACTCCTCTGATCGGTACACAGGTCTCACGGCGGATGTAACAGCTAGACATGGGATAATTACTCCTCTGATCGGTACACAGGTCTCACGGCGGATGTAACAGCTAGACAGGGGATAATTACTCCTCCTAGGCATCTGATTCCAACCTT